CATTTTATGTTTGCTACGTATGCGGTCAGCCACGGGGCGGATCCAGAATTTTTCAAACAGGGGGCACAGCAGTTTCAGAATATGTAAATTTAGTGGCAAAATGTGGGGGAACGTTCCCCCGTGCCACACTACTGGATCCGCCCCTGAGCAATGCTTTGGCCAATCCTTATTTCTGAGTTCTGTTCATCGATATGATATTATTCTGATTTATTAAACAATTGGGTAATAATGTAATAACAACTGATAATATCATTATTTGTTTTGAGATAGCTCGTTTGTTCCCTCAATAAGAAATATAAACCTTTCTCTATCTGTATGCTTAAAATAGAAAGTATAGTATCTGACTTCAACATCTATTCAACAACAATTAGTGTAATATTTCTATCAACTCGTTTTTTCCAATTTCTTCCTACGTTCCGGCACCTCTAATACTGTTACGTTATAATGGTATTCAAAACGTAATTTTGTAAACCATAAGTACGTATTTTTAACGTAATTTCTGTCCAAAAAATGTTGAGATCGTTGCTACAAGGTTGACGTTTAAATATATTTTTCTGACGTAACCTGAATGTTATTCTTAAGTTTTATATTTGCTGAGATCCCTCATTTCGACTTGTCTTTTGAACTAGATACTGTATATTAGTATTCAGTACACATAGTGTTCAGATCCTGGTTGGAACATTTTTTTACACTCGAAAATACTTTTTCAATAAAGAAAATACCGTTTACAATATTTAGGCCTATACACACACACACATATATATAATTATATATATATGTATATATTATATTATATATATATATATACATTATATACTATACTATATTTCTTCAGCTTCCTTCTGGAAATAAATTTATAATAAAGACAATAAAGTTGAATTTATTTATTTTGAGTTAAATTATTCATTATTTAGCATTTCATATATATTTGACCATGCCTATTTCTCAAGTGCTGATATTGTAATTTTCGTACATGCATTTATATCATAATAATATAATAATAACAACTTTTCACTGTTTATGTTTTGGTTTTATTTATTTCAGGCACGTGTGGAGTTCTCACCAATAACGAAATAAACGAAGCTGGTTCAGTCAAGATGGAAACTTACATTGCATACATCAAAGCGGCTGGTGGATACACTATTTGTCTTCTTACAGTTTTCTCGTTCGTCCTGATGGTCGGAACTATAACATTTAGTCAGTGGTGGCTGTCAAAATGGTTAGAACAAGGTGGAGGTGTAAGTATTTATTAACATTACCATTGCCATTACACAAAAACTATTACTATTACATTTACCATTACATTTGCTTTTGCCATTTTGATTACAATTAGGCTGTCATTATCACTACCATTGTCATGATCATACTTATCACACTTATTATTATCATCATCATTTATTCGTGCGAGTGTACAAATAAAAATGCATGTTGACATTTTTTTCATTGTGATTTATCATCATTTAAAATATTTCCGACCAGAGTATTAGGAGACTTACAATCCTACAGCTCCAGTCAATAAACTGGAACGAAAAAAAAACAAAAACCAAAACAAACAAAACAAAAAAAAAACACAAAAAAAACAAAAACATTTCACCATGTAGGCTTAAATATATGCAGAGAAAAAAAATGAATTGAATTAACATTTTTTTATTATTATTTTTTTTGTAGGGCTCATCAATTATCATCGGTAACATTAGTGTTCCAAGCGACGACATCAGGGACAATCCGCAATTAGCATTTTACCAACAAACATACATCTTAACAGCAGTGGCAGTGTTACTTTTCAGTATCCTAAAGAGTTTTATATACATTCGTGTAAGTTTTAAAGATGTCAAGATGCGCTGTCTCTTATACACATCTAGATGTGTATAAGAGACAGATATATTAGTGTAATAGTTCAATCTCTTTTTCAGACAACACTTGTGGCTTCTTCCTCTCTGCACGACTCCGTTTTGCGCAAAGTTTTCAATTCACCAATGATATTTTTTGACACTACCCCTTCAGGTCAAATCATGAATCGCTTTTCCCAAGATTTAGATGAAGTAGATGTACAGTTACCGATTACAATGGAAATGTTTTTTCTTTACCTGTTTGGTGTTCTGTTCGCTTTGATTGTGATTTCGGTCGTGTTTCCAATGAATCTAATTGGTTTGGCCATATCATTTGTTTTGTTTGCAATGTTGGGTCGATTATTTAAAAGGTGTCTCAGTGATCTCAAACGTTTGGATAATATCAGCAGAGCGCCTTACTTATCACACCTCACGGCAACCATTCAAGGGGTGCAGACAGTGAGAGCGTACGCTAAGGAGAACCATTTTAACAACAGGTAACCTTTGTTTCCGCTTTAAATAATGATGTTGTTGATGATGGTAATAATAATCGCAATAATAGTAATACATTTATAATTATTATTATTATAATTATTATTATTATTATTATTATTATTATTATTATTATAATCTTTAAAATTCAGATTAGATTAGTCTACTTATAATCACTTTTAATCATAAACATTTCTATAAACAGCAAGATGGTACCAGTTGATATCAAGCTAGCTACCACCGTATAATGCAAAGTGTACGGTACCTTTAAACGTGATTTTTAGGTATAATACAAGAAGGGTTTTAAGTTAAATAATATGTATTATACAGGTAAGCATAAATTAAAATTAGAGGCAATACACAAATGCCTACCTAAATGTGTAACAAAATTTTGATCTTAAAAACATTTTGAAGAAATGTATAAATGGGCTGCTTTGGAAAAATATTGTAACCATTTATCTCCTTCTACCTCCTCTGGGCATAACATGTTAACATACCTGTCATATATAATTAACTAAAGTTTTTGTAACTTGGTATGAAGTGAAATCACTATAATAGGTCGATGAAAAATCTATTTCAGATTCGAGGAGATGGTAGACACCAATTCCGTACCTCTGCTATTATTTGTACTAAGTAATCGATGGTTAGCCGTACGCTTTGATCTTTTTGTAATGTTTATGTCAGTGAGTGTTGGCGCCTTCGCCGTCATAACTCATGGACAAGTGTCATCAGCTATGGTGGGCCTAGCTATCACATTCTCAGCATATGTAAGTTTCAATGCTTTTATTCATTTTATGATGATTTTCATTGAGTAAACAACCATTATCATCATCGTCATCATTATCATCATAGTCATCGCCATGATCATGATCGTCACCATTATTATTATCATTATCAACATTAAAATCATCACCATTCTTATCTTAAACTATTTTTGTACTTCTTTAAAAAAATATTTTTGTACACTATATTGTTTTGGTGGATAATACTGTAGCCCTTGATGAATTGAAAACAGAATCAGAATAACAAAAACATTTAAATCTAAGCGAATTTTTATATACCTGTCTCTTATACACATCTAGATGTGTATAAGAGACAGATATATAGCATT